TACAGCAGATCATGAAAATCTTGTGAAATGTTGACTATTTTCGGGTGCGTGATATGTCCTACAGGGGATCTCGTATAACGTAATAACCACTGCTTATACCTGTTTCCCTATCAGTAATTGAAAGCAAATTTCTGTTCAGGATATCGGAAACTGGGACAACGAACTTGCGAGCCTGGCCTGTGATCAGGCAAAGGAAGGAGGCGAGAGTAATTTCCATCGGTATAAGGGAGAAATGTTCGTATCTGGCTATTAAGAGATGTCGCCGACATTTTTCGACCAAGCAATTATGTTCATTTAGGCAGTTCAAGAAGGCTTCAACTAGGAATCTTGAGACCATGGTGTACAGGACATTAAGAGCTGGCCTAAAGAACTCCTATCAAACAAATCTCGTGAGTCAGAACAAGCATGCTATTAAGTATAAAATTAATACGACCAATAAGTCTTGTGAGCTTCCTGAACTGCGTTAGACCGCAAAGAGTTCATTCGAGAGTTTCCATTTCCGACTGATCGTCTTTTGATCCTGTCCAACCTCACTAATTTATCCCGTTCAGGTACGCAACTTTCGATCCAGACACGAAGTACGGATGCAACACTTATTATGAAGGAGGAACTATGAGAGCGGTGTGCCTATATGAGACCCAGTAGACCTTGTTCTTTTTGATGCATTCGAAATACAAGCATGAATTTCGCTCTGAACTAAATTCTTCGAACAGAAAGAATAGAAACGCTGTCCAGACGTCAAACCATAACAACTACTTATTCTCTCCTAATGGTGGCAGTTTTGTTCGCAAGCACTCCGTTTCAGTAGGACTGAAACGCAGCTAGCATGCTTTGTAGAGCGGCCCTCCTTCGACTCCTGTTTAGATTTCAGTTGCGCTTCTCTCTATTCCCTTTGCATTTCCTTGTGCATTTTTCGAACGAACAGTCTCAAAGTAAAGTGCTGAAGGGGTGCAGCAGAAGGGACATTGGAAAGCTTTCTAACCTAAACTGTAAACCCATCTGCACGGATCCTCATCCTTCCCGGTGTGGGCACGGTTCGCACTGGTGTGCAACTTTCTCCGGTCAAAATTACGACAATGGGGCTGGAGTATAATGATGCCCGGATGCCGTCTCCATACCTTCCTGCTCAGCCGAACGGTGAGACAGGCACCAAGCCATGACACAATTCGTCTGCGTCCTCTCATTTCTGATTATTTCTGTCGCTGAGTAGTTGTTTTGCTGCGCGAGCTCTGTTTCGATGCATAGGTTAGCAAATGTATCTTGAGGATAGCGCGGACGGAATGCGATGACGGCTCTTAGATATCACGACCCTTCCGTCTCTTCGTGCACCTAGGAGCGGAGAAGGTAGCACTCTACTGCAACTGCACACCCATTACCCTCGCCCATGATAAGAACCTTCCTCGTAGTTGAGTGTACACTAAACAAGTCTGCGCATTCACGAAGAAAGAAGTTACACGCTGTTGGCGATAGGCCTCAGGAAATTCTGCGATGCTCCTAAATTTCGAGAACTCATGGGCTGTGAAGCACCATATTCACACCACATTCACATTCTTCAAATATTCGACACAGGACCTACATTCGTACCTTTCCGAACTGCTGAGTAAGGTTACATATTTTCCACCCTCTTATCGCCCTCGAGCCAGAAAGGACTGCTTATGTTTTCAAGCGACGGCTGTACAGAGCTACTGCGCAAAATGCAGCTCACCGCAGAGTCTTTATTGTCGTACATTATGAAAAGCGTCTTTGAGATATCCTACAATTTTGGTGACGAGCTTTCCTACAAAAACGCTCTGCGTTCTTCTTGCAGGGAAGGAGACTGCACAGTCGCAGGATGTGGTCTCAAGGTCTCCTGTCTAACTTGTGGAGATGAATACATTGGTGAAACGGCTAGGCCACTCCATGTGCGGATCAAGGAGCATCTGGATGGAAAATCTAGACTGCACTACTCAACTGTATTAGGATGTCTTGTTAGGGTTCGAGACCACAACGGAGTCGATTTTGGAGTTACGGTAAAGGTTTAAGACTGACTCACTGTGCGAAAAACATTCGAAGCGTTCTGGATTTAGGTCAGCAATCCAAGAATGAACCACAGCGGATAATGCTTATCAACTGCACGAGAGCTAAATCTCTATAT